GAACGGTGATTACGGATAAATTAAACGTGTGTTTGAATGATAAGCCATACAGAGGAACAGGACTGCATGAACCCAACCAAATGTAAGTCCAGTGAATAGGTCGGTTTAAACGAGACTACCAAAACGAGACAAAGGACAGCATAGTTAGTAAGGCGTGACCCATCATCGTTAACTGGTATGATGGAAGCGGAAGTCAGTGATCACAACACTATCCACACACACACGGTACCGGTAATTACGTTCCACAATCACTATTGTCGCCAAACGTCCACAATAACTTTTTATCTGCCGCCAGATATTCTCATTTGTTTCTAACTGGTGTGCAGTTTCATATATCAAGCTTTGTCTTCCTATCAGGCATCATACTAGAAGTAAATAAGGAGTGCCAAATAGCCTCAAGTTCTACTCCAACTTGAGATGAAATAACTAGCGCTACGTTTAAAACCATGACCGGAAATCCGTAACTAGTTTGCTTCTTTGCAAGCATTCCATCAGAAAACTGCTTTCAAAGTTGACGCCGTAGTGTGAACCACTCTGTGACCTGAAACTGTTGTGGTCTGAAAATACTGTTTTTGAGAAAGAAAAAGACGTTGGGTTACACATTATGGTACGGACCATTACAAACGTCCCAAAGTTTGCAGCCTAAATACATTGATTAATTGACATACATTTTGTCTGTCTGGTGACCGAATGTGAGAAACTAGCAATAACATTCAATCTATTGGCACCAGAGGTATTCTAATCAATTAGACATATGTTTGGTCACTTCACCTATATATACAGTTCAGGTGTAATAACCTAGGGAATAGGTCAGCACTGTCTAGGTTTGGTCAGATAGCTTTCGTCTAGGTCTGAGCCGTTTCCCAGTAGCACAGTTTAACATAGTTACCGCAATGATTGTTACAAACGGCGTTTCGCCAGTCTACTGGCTAAACTAATTTGACAACATCCCAATTTGTCGCTTTCACATAACATTGGAATCTGTCGCTCTTGAAAGGAGTTTCTTTGTAACTTACACTCACACCCACGCAAACAGTTCACCTTGTTCATGAAACCTGGGTCTATAGAACTTTCGGAACAGTGAGTCGTCAGTGTGATTTCAGTTCTGATCAATCAGGTCAATGAACTAGCTTGTTTTTTTCTTTGTAATTGTGGCGAGGATATGATGAACTATTGAAAATAAGTTTGACTTGTTATTTTTTCTACGTAAATAAGAGCTCATAATCAACCTCTAATTCAACTGATAGAACTACAGCAGAAAGCAGTTACCTCTCAAAACAACCTATCTCTTTATGTACAACCAGCCCTAGGGATGTTTGACATTTGAATACCACAGTTGTGTTCTATAGTTGTGATCCAGCTGACACCTGTAATAAACAAGAGTAGATTATCATTGCCACGTGAATTCGGTAAGAGCACACATGCATGTGTGAACTACGATACACTAACTAGTTGATATTCTGTTTTAATTACGTGTCAGGCACAAGGATATATCACATGCCCTTTGAATTTCTGCATCGAAACGTTTGAATAACCATACAGCATGTAATCTATTTCACTCAGTTGACATTTATGAACAAGCTGTAAATGAGAAGTCTGTTTGCAGAAAATGATCTGTTAGTACTTGCACATGCGCTAGGATAACAGATGTTCAGTATGATCAGATCGGTTCATAAAGAGTTGCACTGACGTTATTGTCTATCATTATGGTCATACATTTACAAGTCAACCAGTTAACTCAAACAACAACCCAAACTCAGCCACACGTTTCAAAGTTTTATCAGTGGTAACTATTTTTTTACTAGAAATGTAAATATTGCACTGCATCACACAGTAAAGACGAGTGATTGCTTTGAAACATTGCCAGTATATACGTAACTATGGATGTGCTCCAAAACATAATGCTTCATTACCCTGTATGTAGCATATAATCTGATGAAAAATGTCGAGTTTCAACGTGTTACTCACGCTTCAACATTGACGCTGTAGTTAAGACAATTGATATCGCTTAGAGTTGTCTTCAGAGCTATCCAGAGTTGTAAACTTCATTCCCCTGAATCATAGAACTGCCTTCAATAGCAACCGAACAGTTTAGCAGATACATTTTGACTGTGGTTAGTGATGGTGAACAGTTCTCGGTCTGTTAACTCATAATAATTTACTAATGGGGCACAGTCTGTTTAAAGCCTCACTTTGGCTTCCGTATGACTGTTATCTTCTAGTTTTCTATCTTTAAGTAAATGTTTCGTTATCTTTTTATAATGTTTTATCACCATACATGTTGACGGGATTCTCGTGATTGTAACTAATATAACGTTACGTATTTATTTCACGGGCGAACATTTAGGTACAACTCTTATACAGACTACGTGTCGTTTTCTCCTGACTAGCAAAATATTTACAACTCATCTACTAACAAATACTCGGACGTTACTCAATCTCAACCCTAACTGACTACTTTATCTCCTACTGGTTCTCGATGGTTCTTGATACACTTTTCAGCCGTTCACAGTTTTGGTACTATGAGCTCCGGTGAGCTCGTTATAATGTAATTCAGTTAGTTTCTGTATATTTTGAGAACAATATCACTCCCTTTGTCGAGAGCACTTAGGGATATTTCTCCTTTTAATACGGGTTGTCATACAACAATGGCCGGTTTCACTACTGATGAACACATCTGTAACATGACCAGTGAAAAGATTATTTGCATTTTAGGTTATTCTCCAACATGTCAGGAATATATGAATTGTCGACTGACGTCATTTTGAAGAAACTGCAGCTAGAACGTTTCTTTCTCACTGACAGCTGTAATATTTTGAAACAATAACCGTCGGGCGGCACGACATACCTTGTCTATATCGCCCGAACCTGTGTTGAAATGGACTTTCTGAAATAAATTCCCATTACAGAAGACATTCATTTTATCCATCTCATAAAATCACAGAAAAATCATCCAAGACAACATTCAAGTAATTGAGCTCATGAACTCTTGAGGGTTGGAATGCTATTCCGCTTACTTTTGGACCGTTGACAAAGTGCTTTTCAGCCTGTACTTTCCAAATAACGAGGTCTTCTCCCAAACCATGGTTGACCTTTCAAGTAAAGCAAACGTCGTTTACAGCCAGTTTAATATCAGGTGCCTGCAAATGTTTATCTGAGTGAACTAATGAAAACTTGGGAATGGTGTGTCCGGTGCACTGTAACTATTTACAGGACAAACACAACGGACCTCTGGCCAACAGACATTTTGTAAACCTTATCCTGACCATAGGTAATTAACTTATCACCGCTGTGGCACTTTCAGTGGACAAATGACGAAGGGATAAAACTGATATAAATCCAGAGTAAATTCTTGGGAGCTGAAAGCTTGAATGTATTTGAAAACGCTCCGACGGCGCTTACAATCTAACTGATCTTCCGCCTCTTTTTTAACTCAAATGTACAATACTGATGGAAGAAATCCATGCAATTTGATCACACTCGTGTTGAAACCCCTTGTCATTCCAACTCACATTAACCGATGGCTTCTCGTGGCAAATAGACACGTGTGAAAAATGAAAAAGAACAACAGCCTAACTAACTCAATTGATTTGTATTGAGAGATATTTCTCATTGTGAATTAGCCCTAATTTAATAGAACCATATCGGCAATATTTACTGACTGTGACTTAATCATGTTCAGCAAAAGGTACCGACAAGTCATTAGGACCAAACTGGGGAAAAATATGAATAAAAGAGTTGAAATTATTTAAAAGGATTTTTTAAGAACATGACTGTTTTGGGATTCAGCAAGTTACTTTAAAAGTAACGTCGGTGATCGGGTATCCCGAACTGAAGTTGTTTAACCGCTGCTACAGTCGTCTGACAGTGTACTTGAGAACTATGAGTGGTTCACAGAAATGTGATGTAATTAATGATCGGTGGTTGGAGAATTCGGCTAAAAAAATAAATCGCAATTGGCTATCGTTCCTGGATCCTCGTATGACTTCCAGTTGTTTTTTGCGTGGGATTATTAGACCAGAATGTCGTTTCTGTTACTAGTCGTCAGTTGTGTATCTACCAGCACGGACAAAATCTGAAGTTTGACCATGCTTTCATAATATAAAAACGTGCTGATCTGTACATCACTACTGAACTGTCGTATACGATTACCACTTACCTAATTAGGATAGATAATAGGTTACTTATGTCATTCAAACGCTAACAGCATACATTAATTCATGAGTATCTAGTTGTGGTCTGGTTAGATAACACAATGGTTCAGTGTGCTGTTCGTCGGAATAATAACAAGGATTTTCTTTATGATAGTCAGATAAAATTACCATTACTGATCGCTGTCAGCAGTTGTCTGATTGTGAACAAACACTCGAGGGTGGTGGACGATACCTTCGGTAAGCATGTAACCAGTTGTGCAAGTTAATACCAATGATCCAAATTGAGGGGCAACAAAACAATTTGCATAAATCAGCATACTGGTTAGAATTTTAGTGACGTATTGATGAAAGTCTGTCTGCCTTGTGATTCTCTTCCATCTTCACCGGTCTCGTGAATTACTATGTATTGTGATAGCGTATACCTTTACGCGAACTGACTGGAATAACTAGCGTTGTATCGTCAATCACACCAAATAGTAAAACGGTATACAATCCTGAAAACTGTTCTTAGTTCGTTCATTGTAATATTTCATACATATCAGATATAGACAATAAAATAGCACAACCATGCTCGCTGTTAGCTCACAACGTTGGACATACTTGATGTTACATTTATTCAAACGTGGGGGTGTGGAAGTGTAGGTATTTGGCAGAAATATGTCACTTGGTAATCAGGTAAAAACATACGTTTTCACTTACATACGTTTACTGCGAATTTATGCTCAATTTCATTTGCTAATTTGTGTATTATTGTAACGTAGTCAGTATTTTCCAGTATTTTCAGCAAGGACGATTTCAACTCGGGACAATTTATAATGTAGCTACAGACAAACTCGTGGTTTGTCAGGGCTCCGGCTGGATTCGAACCAGCGCCAGAAACAGCATGCCTCACCGCGGCGAGCGCTGTACCAGCTGAACTACGAAGCCGCACCGAGAGCTCGGACATTTCACATCCGGACTCGGTTACCTACCCGTCCCACTGTCTCATATGGAATCCACCAAATGATCACGTTTCAGTGAAGGTGACATAATAAAGCAGCCTCTGTATTTTCCTTTTGGTTCCCATTAATATCCTATCTTTTCGCTTACAACATCAAGTGTGCGTGTTTCGATGACAAGTAATATCAACCATATATAGTGATCCTTGTGTGAAAAAGATTAACCGAAAATTACACATCCATTTAAAAACTTTGTAAACGATTTTTCTTCAGTGTAATTTTAATTTTTCACTCAGGAACTGTTGATTTCTCAAGTATGGAATGATTTCAGTGGCCATGTATCTGGTCATCCGTTTCATGAGACATTCCAAGATAGTACAAACTGTCGATATGAGCTGTAAATTTTAACCCAAAAATCGCAAGCAACCGCGAAAAACCACTTTCAAACAACTTGTTTTTAACGAATCTTTGTGAATTTAGATAAACGGTTACGTTAGAAAATTACCTCTGAAAAGTGTCTGATGGAAGTGGATTCACCCAACTTGCAAACACTTACAGTGCGGCTTTTTTTTACTACGGTACTCTGCGTAACACAAAGCAATGTATGAATAACAGTAACGTTATATTAGATTTAAAAACATGTCAACTTATTAACGGGAAAGTTTGTGACTTTGCTACTGCACTTCAGTGGACGTTTTGTTGAGAGTATGAGTTATTCTGAAATTCCTACTATGCAAACCAATGGGAGAGTAAATGTTTTGTGGTAAAACTCCCCACTAAATGCCTAGTTAAAGTGGACAGCTTTGGATTTCGTGTTAGTTTGTTTAAAAATGCCTACACCCTGTGGTATGTAAATTTGGGTGAATAGGTTTAGTCGGTTCAACCAATTCATAGGCATGGTTGATAATTGCGCATGATGACCTTAAAGTGCTAGCGAACTGAAAGCGGAACCATTTGAAAAACTATGTAACAGCATCATCTCGTTTAATCGGCCCGTTAACCGAGTTAGTATGGACTACTAATTTGCTACGAATAGTAAGGTTTTCTGAGGTATTCAAAAATAACCTTAGGTTGTCCAGTTTCCTTCAGAGGAACCTTCCATCACCTTGAAGTCATAGAAATTATTAGGTTTTTTAACTAACCTCTTTCGTACTACCAGATTAATCGAGTATAAGTGATGTTCAGTCATTAATCATCTATTCAACGCGTATTTCACAGATCAAGTTTATAAAGTTTATGTGAATTTGGAATGTACTTTTGCCGCACTGAAAACGGTATTCGACAGCCGTGATGGTGTCTCAACGTAATGAAACTGTTCTGCATCTCCTTTGAATCTGCTGCGGCTAACTATCATGACGACCTTTAATCCAGTTATCAAGTGAGTATCAGCACACAATCTAATCTGGCTGTAGAGTTTACCTTGCACACCCACAAGCCATATTTCAAACCGTGTGTTGATTTTCAGTCTCTGGTAGTCCAAGTTCATATATGATAAACCACGATAAATATTCTAGAAGCTGCCTGTTAACTGGAAAACCCATAAACATTCATACTGCTCGACATGACTGAGTACATAGCACTATGAATTTCCCCCTCTGAAAAGATTTATTGTTCTGCTCTTTGTACTCTCCATACTTGCTTGTGGGAAACCACCATGATCAAAGTCAGTCCGAGCCACAGCAGTTACCCATGCAAATATTTGTATGACGTGTAGTGCTCTGCAAAAATAGATCACTCCAAGCATTGTGAACGGCAACTTGTTGGTCATGTGTAGTTGCTCCGAAAGTGGTATGACTGAAGCTTCCATTATTGTTGAATTGTTACAACATGTTGACTGAGGTGAAGGTTCCTATATTGTGCATTTACATTGTGAACGAGGCTATTTTTATAGGCTCGATATATCATATTCCATAAAACAAATAGTTGTGTAACTCGCTTCCGATTTTCAACAATTTGTTACCTCAACCGTTTGCATACGACATTCAGTACGTCGCAATTCAAGTCTCTTCAGCTTACCAGCAGTTTCATCAACAAACCGCTGGTGTTGGAAAAAGTATTGAAGAGTACATAACCACAAAAACACAATCTGTGTTCTAAGTCTTACAAAACTATGTAATCAGGAACTTATGTTTTTAGACGTTCCTGGACTGAGTTAAGAAATTCGATATTTTTGAGAAATCATACAGTTTTCTTCCAGAAAACAGGAGTTTTTAAGTATCCGATGAGTGTTTTATGAGTGAGACATTTTATTTTGACTCAATCCCACATTTCTGAGATTGCCGTAGTATAAGACTTGTTCTTATTCATTGTAGCTTAAGTCCGGATCAAACACATTACATTATATTGCAACATGTCGAATTGGCCACCTGTAAACAACTCACATACTTAATGCTGTTATTATTTTTGTGAAAACGCTTAGCAAACCGGTAGTTTGTTATTCTAATTCGTGTGTGCAGTCAGTGTTTTATCACAAACTATTGTTCCGTGCTAGATTTTATTATCAACCGTGCACGATTGAGCTCTTCGAGAGACGTTCTGTGATTAAGAGTTATAACGCATACTAACATAATTTTTGGAAGTATCAACATCCGATCCTTTACAATAAATCACGATAAGTAACACTGCTATTCGTTATAAAAACATATGGTAAAACAACGATTTTTGAGACCTAACTTGTAGTTATAAAACGATTCAGGAATGAGTATTTCCAGTGACCATCTAACGAACTTATCAGAACTCAGTGAATTATTCCCCAGGCGTTAAAAGTTTACCAATAGAATTTCATTTATGTTTCGTTGTCCGCTAATTCAGTCAAAAAATATACTTTTAAGACAATTTTTCCACACAATTCTAGCTAAAGCGTTGACATCTAACTGCCTGAATACCCCTTGGGTCTTTATTAAAAATTGTCAATCCTCGATAAATTTAGGTAACGTTTTACTACAGGCTTGTGAGTTACTGAGCTCGCAATATTTATGTTGCAAAACATACCTTCATTAAATGTGATCCCGGAAGGAAGAACAATTCAAAAGGCAGTTTTGTATTAATGCAAAACTCATAGTATTCGACTAGGTGTTTACATGAAGAATGTTACTGCAGAACACCAGAGGGAATAATAGTTGAATATAGTTGATGTAAGTCTCAACTGGTGGTACAACTAAGTCGAGCTCTCATCATTGATAACGTAAGTTCCCTGAGAAATAGTTTGGCAATTCTATCCACACCAGAACTGTCACATTATCGTTTCTTTGCTAAAATCTTCAGAAATGTAGAAGAATTTCTCAAAACTTTTGGAAGATTAGTTCAGTGTTTTCAAAGTGTATAGGTTCATTATGGATTTCTACCTCAAGTAAACGATGCATAACAACTTAGCGTTAATAATTTTGTCTGTCTGTATAATACAAGAACTTCCGTTACACGGGTGTGCGTGCGTGAAACCAAAATGCTCTAACTGGTGTTGTCACACACTGTAAGTTGACAAAGAATCTACCTCGAATTTATTTTCAATCAATCGTGACAAAACCGAAATTTTCCTTCAAAATGAACAAGAGCACAAATCCTCCGTGTTTTGAGTAGCCTTTGCGAATACGTTGACCTGAAGAGTTGGATGGTAATCTTCTTCAGTTGGCAATTATTATTTTTCAAAACAGCAAGAAGACAAACGTTGCGGGATGTTAACATTTCGATTTATCTCGTCAGCCGCATACTAAATACATACAGAATATATAACAAAGGCGCATGGCAACAATAGTTGAACAGAGTGAATTTTAGGGTCAAAAGGCCGTTACCAGGGGAGGTGGACAGTGTGAACCATCAAGTTTTGCGCACACAACACTGGCTTTCTTTGTTTGATCAGCACAGCTTCACTGATGGCCAGAATTTTGGGGTTTGGGTGTCGTAGCAACACAGTGAACGACCTGGTTGGGTCGACGTTGTGACCTGTCGTGAGTTCAAAAACAATGTACTCTATCGATGTGCAATCTTTGTTCACTAACGTTCCCTTGCATGAGACTGTAAATTTTCTTTGTGACTTTATTTCAGTTCAGAATATTCAGTTGCCTCTTCCTCTTGATTATCTCAGGGATCTCATTTTCTTCTGTACAGAAAACATTCGTTTCGAGTTCGAAGGAGTTGCCTTCAAACAAATTGATGGAGTAGCCATGGGCAGCCCACTAGGCCCAACGTTAGCGGATGTTTTCCTTGGAATGATTGAAAGACAAATTGTTGATAATATTCCCATGACTAATTTATACAGAAGATACGTCGATGGTATCTTGATTTTTACTGAGAGTGACAAGTTTCTTCCATTTTTTAACCTTATGAACTCGATACATCCAAATTTGTTTGTTACTTATGAAACTGAGTCGAATGGAAGCCTAGCTTTTCTAGACGTTTTACTTACTAGACGTCTTGACGACACGTTGCAGCGGTCGGTTTACCGTAAAGCCACTTGGAGCGGCCAATACCTCCAGTTCTCCAGTTTTGCACCTATGGCCTACAAGCGTGGTTTAGTAAAAACATTGTTCGACAGAGCCCGACGAATATGTACAGAAGATCAGTTGACAAAAGAGGAAGAATTCTTAACAACCACATTACTCGCTAATGGATATCCGGAAAAATTTATCTCGGTTCATAGCAAGAAAACAACGAAAAGACCTGCAGTTCACACAGCAAAGAAAAAAGAGGTGTTCATAAAACTACAATTCAGGGGAGACTATTTGTCTACTATACTGCGTCATCAGCTTCAGTCAGCTGTGAATCGTACATACCCTGCAGCTGAATTGTGCCTCTTATCATCAACTCGGGGAGTTAGTTACGGAAACGCTAGACGTGACACACCTAACTATTCTGTCTCACATGTCGTTTATCAGTTCACTTGCAGTTGCAATGACAGCTATATCGGCAGAACGGACCCGTGCTTACGTCAACGTATGGCCGAACACCTCCCAAAATGGTTGATTCAGTCTGCTGAGCGAACAGACAGTCAAG